GGCGTTTATCTCATACCCAGACATTGAAATTTAAGTTCTTGTATGTTACGGACTCGACGTTGAAACCGATGGTGGGTATCGTTGTGACAACTTCGCCAATCTGGAGTGTTCGTTAGTGATGCTTCGTCCTATGGTGGTCGTGGGTGTTGGGCATTCTCACCTTCAAGCGGTATAGCAGAGTGGTCTTTCCAGCGTTATCCTAAGCATTTGCGCAAGTCAGATCGTCGTCCGGTCGTTGTCTAGTTGGGCGGCGCCGGCACGCGCGAGAGGGGTCGAGCGTACAAGACCGAGGATCAGGATTCTGATCTCCTTCTTTGCCCACAGCAGGCTGGACACCCATGACATGGATTGACCCATCTTGTATAAACCTCGTTGTGCAACCCAGAAGAAAAGTAAGGATGCGGAGGAGAGGTCTCGATCAAACGCCTGCGCTTGTTCCGGTACGGTCGCTGAAGAGATGTGTCGTCTGGTGGATTATCGTCGGGAGAGGGTCTAGATCCCGGTGTATTCGTAGGCGGAGGAGAAGAGATTAAGGGAAGTAAGTTGTTAGTCTGAAAGTCGGTGTTGATGACGTTCCTTATCGCGAAACGCTTCGGGGTTTCAGTCACGGGGACTAAGTGGTTTTGTCGCGCGGGAGACAGACCAGCAGGGGAGCGGCGGAAGTAGGGGGTGACAAGCCCTGCTTCGCTAGCACTGCCTTAAGGAAGGGGTATAATAGCAGGCACTTTCTAATTGCGGGCGTGGATGTTGCGATAGGCGACAGATTGAGTCGATGTGGAGGGGAAACAGCTTTGTTCAGTCGGAGCTGCCAATTATTAATTCAAGCCTCCTATTCTGGATCTTACGTCTGAAGGCGCATTTACAGTTACGTCCCTCTTTTTTACCGCTGGAGCTTAACTGTGGTTGGCTAAAGCATAAGGCGATGGAAAGAACACCTTGTCTTCCTGCTGAAATATTGTGTATTAGGAGATTTGGATGTTTCTAAGTTGGAGGCTCATTTTCTAGGTCCCCATTCGTCCCAAACAATCGCTACCAAAAGCGATGATAGTGTCTCGTAACGTGTTCACAGCATGAGAGGAAGCTCTTATTAGTGCAGCTACCTTCTTTAGTAATGATGGATATCAGGCAGATGCCTCCAGAATTCTGTCATACGTAGCACAGCCACTAAGGTTTGAAAATTCGTTGCGGCCTCAGGCACCCACAGCAGCCGAACCCACGCTCAAGCCACAGCTCCCGCTATGGACTAGTAGGGCTTTTCCGCCCACAGGATTCTCAGCAAGGGCTAAAATTCTCGGATTCGATTTCAACTCCACGAAACCCATCATCACCATCCGATTCAGACTCGACCATCCACACATTCAAGATGCCGGTATGAACCCCCCCCAGCGCACGCAATGGCGAGTCTGTTGCACTCTCTCGCCATCGAGAGAGCGATAACTCGACGAGCCATGCGAACCGCACCGCGCGGCACACACACACTTTGGAAATGATCTCAATGGGCTGACTCTTCTTCTTTTCTTGTATCCAGAGCCACAAGTCTTTCCGCACCAAGCAAAAGCTTGCCAAGGCGCAGAAGCAGAACCGCCCTGTGCCCCAATGGATTAGACTCCGAACGGACAACACCATCCGGTGAGTTTTTTTTTGCTCCCCATGATCCTCACGTAAACCGACACACTCGTTTCGCCTTCCCCCGCCCGGCCTCACAGAATCTTCGGGTGTTGGCCGACGCAAATCACAAGAGAGAATTTTACACCAGAGAGCCCTACATTCCCATGGCTAACAATTGTTGAATTCACAGCTACAACGCCAAGCGCAGACACTGGCGCAAGACCCGCCTGGGCATCTAAACAACCTCAACTGTGTTTCCGGAAAGCAGTGGAAAGACGGCCCAACACCAATCCTCACGCACCTCGTTCCTGCATCGACAACATCACGACTACTTCACTCCCCCTTTCCTGGCATGACGTACTCTCTGGTCTCCGTTCAACTACTCTGAGGGGGATGGGTATATTATTTTTCCTAGTGTTTAGATGTTCTTGCCGATGCACTGATGGATATTTGGGCCTTGGGGTTTAGTCAAGGCGTCGAAGTTGAGGGTGAATGGAATAGGCAGGCTGCCCGGTTTCTCGATTTCTGCATGTCATGGTCAAGGTTCTAGGGAAATAAAATACGACACTTTTGAAAGTCATCTACTACCTGCAATTTCATACGTCCCTGTGCACGTACTCACTTGAGGTGGCCATTAACAACATACTTGAAGGTTTTCTCGTCATGGACTAAACCTCGTACTGGTTTGGCGAGAGGTTAGCCTGTTCTCGATGAAAGCGGTTTCCGGCTACTGATTTGAGACTTGTATCGTTTGGAGTTGGTTCGATGTTTGACCTGTAGTGGTAATGAGACTGGCGTTCCTGCTTCATCACCTAGCGTTTTGATGTAAATACTCACATAATGCTACGATCACAGATTAATGGTTTCCTGAATTGTAAAACACACACATGTCGTAAACAAACTTCATTATCATTCGCCACTGATTCCCTCTATCAAGTCCGACGACAGTTGACGCTGTGTCATACTCCAAGATTCTTTAGGCCCTAGGGGTGAACTCTGCTGGGAAACATACCATTTGGGATCCTGAAGCGACAAAGAAGGGGAAACTATCTCCAACCTCGATCGGGTAGGGAGCAATAATAGAGGATAGAGTAATAGGAAAACATTTAAAACGCCATGGATGGCCAAAAAAAAGGTAAATCTTCGAGGCGGCATACCTGATAATGGCTGCAAAATACTAAGGTCATTTACCGATCCTCAGCCCACTCGTTCTCCCGACGGATCTGCTCCTCCTCCTCAGGTGAGAAGTCATTGGTAATATTGAAGGTCTTGCGGATCTCCTCTGGAGACTTGCCCTTGATCATGTTAGCGACAGTCTTGCAGCCAACATCGAGCAAAGCCTTGATGTCGAGGTAGTTTGCCGCCTATGATACTTGTTAGTCAGGAAGTCAGAATAAAATAGACATTGGAGGAGAGGGCGTACCAGAATGATCTCGAACAACATTTCCTGGTCAACCTGCATGAACTTTTGGTCCCACTCCTCGATCTCGGTGGTCTTCTTGCGGGCATCGGACTCCTCGTCCTGGGAGGCAGGGGGGTCGTTGCGGTGGTGCTCGCACCACTCGATGACCTTGCGGAGGACAGTCTCGTTCACCTAGATGGCATCGGGCGTTAGCAAAAGGTTCGCACCTGCGTTGGTTTGATCAGGCGGGGTGATTGCCACTCAAACTTACGTTCTGGATAGGAATAGCGTTCTCCTCGGACAGATCGCTGTCACCAACATCCTCGAGCAGGTTCTTGATGAGAACAGATCGCTCGCCGACATCGCGGTCTGTAGGTCTTGTGGTTAGCTGGGAAAGGCTGACGTGACTACTGCTTCGTGTAGTCATAAGTGGGCTGGGACTTACCGATCTCAAACGTCTTGTCGTCATTGGAACGGATCCAAATCTTTTGGGCGGGCTTAGACTCGGCCATTTTGTGTGATTTCGGTGATTGGAGTTGTTTGCGTGATGGATTCTATGAGATGGATGAGCGGTCGGTTAGCTTAGTTGTCAGCAGAAGAAAGATCTTTGCTCGGCGTTGGTGAACAAAGTGCTAGGTAAGAAGAACAGCGGGGATGAGGGGAGTGATGCGGGCTATGCCTAAATGGTTGGGTACGGCAAGGCAGAGAGTGGGGACGTACCTCTCAGTGAGTAATATTCCGGCGGGTGAGGCAGGCAGACACGCACAATAGAGATTATATTGTTCGTGTGGGCGAGGTGGCAGATGAACGATGACAATAGGCTGTGTCAGAGATGGATTCGAAATAATGAAGAGTATGGAGGAGGGGAAAACAGAAGAAGGTTGTGTCAGCGTCTTAAGTACCTTCAGAGGTGGGAGTTCGAGCCTTGGGGGGAGCGACGGCGTGAGTAAAGTACCTGAAAACAAGCCACAGTCAATGCTGCCTAGAAGAAAGCCTGTTCCTTCCCGAACTCAAGCTGTGACTCTGACCAGGCGCGCAAAGGGCCTGAATGCTAAAATTAGAACGCCCAACTACGCACTGGGTACCTCTCACATCAGCACTTTTAAGACCTATTTCCTTGTCCACGGCACAGTGGAAAAGTTAATTTATTATCAACAGCGGCATGAGCCATGGCCACGTACTAGTTATGATATCTGATCAAAGACTCGAGCGCTTTGGCTTTGCCCCCTGGAAAGCTTGGGTGCCTGCATCGATTTTGGCTTTATCATGTCAAGTTGCACGGGCACTTTTTAACGGTGCTTTTTACTAGCATCCAGGTACTAGTCTTTTCTCTTCTTCGAAACAGCCACAAACAGCAAGGCAATTTCCAAATGTGCGCACTAGATCGATTAAAGTTGGCTCAACATAAACAAAGTGCCTTCAGCATAACAAAGTCGCATGTGCGTTCGCAGAACAGGCCTCATTGAAACCAAATTGAATGGGTCAGGCGGCTAGAGCCGAGTTAATCTGAGCATGGAGGAGACCTGTGGCTGTGCGTGACAGGACCACTGCTGATTGGCACCTTCATTGTGTGGACTTACTCAGGCCGGTACCTTTCTCACGATGATGCCTTACCTAATATGGCCCCTCCTGGTGGAGTGGCTGCCTGACAGCTGAGACAATCCACGAGCCACAGAACAATAAAAAAGGCACATGTGTGAATGAATCCTCAAGCGGGGGAATGCCTATTGTGTGGCTAGAGACAAAGTGACTCACCCTACCTATCTACTGTATTGTCGATTCTATCTACTTGTATTGTCGCTTGACCGCAAGAAGAAGGAAGATTAAAGGACCGGACGTGAATGAATGCACGCACACACACATGCCTGAGGTGTGCATTGAGGTAGCAATGATGGCATGCAATTTGCAGGTTCTTGTTCTATTCCCTTCTCTCAGGTTCCCTGTTGAGACCACCAATAACAAGAGGACCCGAATTCCCCATCCTGATCGGTCAATGTGCAGATGGTAATACTAATGCGGCCTCGATTGGGTATCCAGTTGCAAATCCCGAGGACAGCTGAGACTGGTCGGAGAAGGGAATGTGCCCATCCTTCGTTGGGTACACATCTGGCATCTTAACTGACGACTCCTTGGACAGGTACTGAATCATTGAAAATTGTCTAATTTATCGCGTGTGGTTGGAATGCTTGTCAGTCTGGCGATTTTGCTTACCCACCTCTGTTGGCAGTCGTTTTCGTATTGCAGTGCCAGGATGGATCCGGGTCGATGCCACCACACACCCGACATTAATTCCCTGGTAATGTGGCCCGGAGATGCATAGATTGGTGAGTTGTCCTCGGAAACTTAGCATCCCCCGCTATAGGTTGTCGCAAATGCAGCAGCCCCGACGAGTCCATGCACCACCGGATGGCGCTACCATGCCAGTATGAACTGATGATGCGCAGCCGAAGCTGGAGAAGCGCAAGAGAGCGCAACGCAATGGAAAAGACGGTGTCCCGAGTTCGAGCCACGTGGTGTGAGGTTTGTGTGTAGTGTGCGTGATGAACCCCCATGTGTCCATTGTCAGGCGCAATCGACAGCACGTTGCCCGTTTTAGACTGATGCTGCAAACACTTTCCGGGAGCCCCTCCACTCGTCTCCCCCCCAAAAATCACAACTATTGCCAAAACTGTGCTCGGATCGCGGGGGATGTACCGCCCCAAGCGTCAACACTCGCCAGCAGCAACGCGTGCGGCAACGCCCAGCTCCAAATGGTGTAGCAGAATGGATAGAATCTGGGCAGGATCGCCTAGCCTCTGCTGTGGCCGTCGTCGAGGCTTGATGCGCTGCTAGCCCAGGCGCTATGAGGTCATGCCGTGGGCAGCTCGACTCAGTAATTACCATTGAGCAGTGTTAGTTGCGGCACCCTTGAAATTACCAGGTGCTATTGCTGCTAGCTGCTGCTGCTGTTGGTAATCATCCAATCTAGGGGGACCATGTTGCCTGACCTTCTTTTTTCTGAATCGATCTGACCTTATCAGCACGCACCTTGACCGACCTTGTTGATGACTTTTGCTGTCTTTTATTTTCCGCTATTATTTCGTCCTTCCCTATAATACATTCTCACTCCTTTACCGCTTACCGTCTGCCTTTCTGTCTCCCTCCCTTCCTCTGTTCCTCAGCTTCGACCAACCTAGACAACTATCCTGCCGTCCACTTGCTGTGTACTTTCGACAGATTCGTTGGCCTCACCAAAAGGAGTGGACACAGACTCCCACCCACACCTACGCCTATTCGCTTCTTCCTACGTTAACGCGCGCTGCACTATACCTCGATTTGCATATACCGACATCGACAACACTTGTATAAACCTATCGGCGTTGCCCTATTCTCCCACAGCGCGCGACAGCTCGCACCAGCGCCGGACGCTTCTCGTAAATCGTCGCGTATCCTCGCACTTCTCGAATACATAAGCCTAGAAATACTCCTTCGGACAGCCTTGCGCTCCATGTTTGCGGCTCGCGATCGCTGCAGAAAAGCTCCAACAGGCCATGTGGCGTCGAACATATCTCCTACTAGTCGCCGTTAGGCTGTGGTTTGCTCTGTCGCCGAGCTATCTACATCCCGACGAGAATTTCCAAGGCCCCGAGATCATTGCAGGTACGCATACACTCTGGTGAACTTTTCCGCCTGTTCCGCGGTCATGCTCAGCTGTGCTATGCGATTTTGTTCGGCTCCAGCACAGCTCGCAACCACTCGCCCCAGTCCAGTCCACTACCTTGACAGGGGTGTCTTTTCCAGATCGCAGAATCTAACATCTACTTGTTTGTTGAAACTAGGTGAAATCTTCAGTTATCCCGTCCGGCGCACATGGGAATTTACGAGCGACCACCCGATTCGAAGCGTTTTCCCGCTATGGCCTGTCTATGGCTTGCCTATGCTTCTCCTGCGGTGGCTCTGGATCGGTAACGGACAGGATGGCGAAATACCCCCTATTGCAGTTTTCTGGACACTGCGAGTCCTCATGTTTCTTACCAGCTTCGTGCTGGAAGATTGGGCCCTTCACGAACTGATCCCTTCGCCAAGGAATAGGCGAGTCGCAGTCTTGCTGGTGGCCTCGTCCTACGTTACCTGGACCTATCAGACTCATACATTTTCCAATTCGGTCGAAACATTGGTTCTCGCTTGGAGCTTGGTCTTGATCCAGCGCATAGTGGATGTTCGGGTATGTTCGAGCCTGCACTTTGGTGCCCCCTTTTATGACTTGCCGTTCCAGTTGACTAACGGCTTCCGTGCTCCAACAGCAACGATCATCGATCCTATCCTCTGTCATTCTTGGAATGGTTTGTGTTTTTGGCGTCTTCAACCGCATTACTTTTCCTGCTTTTCTCTTGATACCCGGCCTTCGCCTACTTAAGCATTTCTTTTATAGGTATGTCTTACTCGTATTCTACACCGGGCATTTGCTGTGCATTCATAAGATTGGAGACTAACTTGAGCAGACCCTTTTCCCTTATTGCCCTGGTTTTGGCTGCTTCTTTCACCACCCTGATCGCCATTTCGCTGGATACAGCTTTTTACTCCCCAGAGCCACTGACCTGGGCAAATCTTTACATCAACCTCAAGAATAACCCTGTCATCACACCTTGGAATAACTTCAAGTACAATTCTGCCGTTGAAAACCTTGCTGGCCATGGTTTACACCCTTGGTACCAGCACTTGGTCGCCAATCTACCAATGCTGATTGGGCCTGCAACACTTCTCTTTTTCTACCGCCCACAACTCTCGTTGAGATTAGGCTCGGCTCTGTCGGGTGTCGCCGTTCTCTCCATCTTCCCCCATCAGGAAGCTCGGTTCCTGTTACCTGCGGTGCCCTTGGTTCTATCCTCGCTCCGCCTACCTAACAACTTGATTGCTCTCCGCATTTGGGGTGTTACCTGGATCATATTCAATGTCTTCTTTGGCATCCTAATGGGTTCCTATCATCAAGCCGGTATTATTCCAGGCCAGGTTTTTATGAGCGGCCAACCCGACGCTACCAATGCTGTTTGGTGGAAGACATATACGCCCCCTATTTGGCTCCTAAACGGGAAAAACGAGGTGCTTACAACCAGAGACGTCATGGGAATGAAAGGCGAGTCCCTCCTCGAGGAGCTAGCGACACTTGCGACTTGCGACACACCGGCAGACAGGCGCAACCAGGAGTATTTAAAGGAGAAGAATGGCACATACCTACTTGCGCCCGCTTCCGCCACATGGCTCGACCCTTATCTGGAAAACAAAGGTCTAGAGGGCCTCCGATTCCGTGAGGTTTGGCGGTACCGGCATCACCTAAACCTGGACGACCTGGACTTCGCCGAGGATGGCGTCTGGGAGACCTTGACCAGGGTCATAGGTCGGCGGGGGCTTGTCGCATGGAGGGTCACAAAGAGTTGCTGAGATACTGCTACTCTTTTTCCTTTGTTTTGACTTGAACTTATGAAGCGATCGATAATACATATATATAGATACCACGCGGGCACGTGCCCAATAATACATACAGTACATACAATTCAATCCTACTAGATGTGAACTTCAGAATACTACTTCCACTTGTGCTATGCCCGCCTCATCCGTTCTTCTTGGGAGATCATATAGTTGGATGCTCGACAACGAACCGTCCTTCGTGAGAGTGGCATTCTCGTCTTCTAAAAGCCGCCACACCGAAGGGCCGTGATACTTTCTTACAATAGTAGCTACTATTTTCTATAGATTACGTAGGACATCATTCAAGCACGAACCGGACATTGTTTTGAGTGCGATTATTGCATTGCTTACTAACCCATACTATGCTAAAACTTAGAGGCTTATCCCAGCCTTCAGCAACCATGGTATACAGGCGCTCGGCAAAGCACAACCATCATGCCCTCAGCAAAAAAAAAAAATCAAAAAAAAGTTTTTATGACCCCCAGCTTAGTACAGGCGGTGGGGAGGAGACATGGAAGCCTTGATGACCAGGCTTCCAACGTTCTGCCAGCCCTTCTTGAGGAGGGAGACAAGGTAGTTAATGGCAAGCATGATGTTACCGATGAGCTGCTCCTGGGCCATCTCGACGTTACCGACGGCGACACCCATGCAGAGGACCTTCTTCAGCTGGAACTTGATGGTGGACTTGACCTCGTTGATGCGGCCAGTCAGGTCGTCGGCGTGAGAGACGGGAGTGGGGAACTTGCCAGCTGTTGATGGGAATGTTAGCATTGTTGGAAAACAACTTTGATATTCAGTGCCCTGTGTGGCGGTGTGTTTGCTTACCCTTGGACAGACCGGGACCGAGGAGACGGGGGATCTGCTTGATGAGAGCCTCGGAAGCGATGAAGGCGTCGTACTTGCGGGCGAGCTTCTTGATGAGCTTCTTGTTCTTGTTCAGCTTCTTGAGGTCGTCGGCGGACATGGCGTCGACACCGCCGTGCTTGGCACGGTCGAGATCGTGCTGGTCACCGAGGATGCAGATGGCCATGTTGGGGCGGGGGATGGCGGGCAGCCTGATGGTGCCGGAGAAACGCTTGTCACGCTGGGGGTCATAGTTCTTCAGGCCGATCTGGAGCTCAACGGTCTCAAGGAAGTTGCGCTTCTTGGTCTCGTTGGAGTACTCCAAGAGCTCGGCGACTTGCGTCCGGACATTAGCTGCAAAAAATGTTAGCAGGTTGATCGTTTTTTCACGGGTTCGCGCGGTCGATCGTGCACGGAGATGGTTGTAATCTCGATTCGTACGTACCGACTGTGATCTTAGACATTTTGTCAGTCTCCCAAGAGAACCTGTTCAATTGGTGGTCAGGACGGGAAAGTTGGTTGAGGGAATCGAGGTGGAGGCTCGTGTGCGCTTGGAGGATTATTTTTTGGGTGGTGCGGAAATGTGGGACGTGCAAGTTAGTGGGGTGGGAGGGCAAAATTTCCTCACGTGGGTATGCACGTGATACCCTCCGCCCAGAGAAAGTATCGTTCAGTAGATGGTCACTTACACGGAAAGTGGCGCGAACCGATGCTGGTGTGTTGATTGTTTGTTGGTTCAATTGGTTATATGATATATCCGTATTAACTGTTGTACCTTAGATATTTCTTGCCAAAGAGCAATGAAATAGCTGGTGTACGTTCAGGAAACCATGAGTTCCCATTCGGAAAAACTCGCCAATGAGCTGGCGAGTCATCAGGAGTTGCTCGCCTGGATTGAGAACCAGCCAAAAGAATCCCAGATTGAGTGAGACTTGTCCAGAAGAAGACATCTAGTCCCATATTGAGTGAATATTCTAATACAAGCACAGAAATGCAAA